GGTATGGCTGGTTTGGCGTTTGGCAGCATTGATTAAAACGCTTTTCTTCATTTCTTCATCGCACCAACGCAGCTAACTTCTCTTTTATGTCAGTGTAAAAGCACGGTAGGTGTTTTATATAAAGTTTTACATATTTTCTTTTATTTTATAAAACTTACATCATCCATAGTTTTTAAATACTTATAAATTTGTATAGCGATATGTCATAATTTTTTTAATCAATAGTTTAGTTTAGAAAGTTATGTTTTATAACAAATATTGTATATTAAAAGTGTTAGGTTAGTTTCTAATAATTTTGTAATATGTTCTATTTATTTTAGTCTGAACGAAAATGGGACGGGTTATTCGTGCACAACGTAAAGGTGCTGGATCCGTATTTAAATCCCATACAAAGAGGAGGAAAGGAGCACCAAAGCTACGTTATTTAGATTTTTCAGAACGTCATGGATATATTAAGGGTGTTGTTAAGGACATCGTACATGATCCTGGTCGTGGAGCTCCCTTAGCTCTTGTACATTTTAGGGACCCTTATAAATTCCAAACAAGAAAAGAACTATTTATTGCACCTGAAGGAATGTACACTGGACAATTTCTTTACTGTGGAAAAAAAGCCAACCTTCAAATCGGTGTGTTACAATTTCTCTATACATTCTTAGTCCGTACTTATTATAGTAAAAATTATTTTGGATACTCTGAATTATAATAGATGTAACAATATAAAATGTTTTATAAATTTTAGGGAATGTTTTGCCTGTTGGTGCAATGCCAGAAGGTACCATCGTATGTAATTTAGAAGAAAAAACAGGCGATCGTGGTCGTCTAGCTCGTGCATCGGGCAATTACGCTACAGTTATTGCTCACAATCACGATACAAAGAAGACACGAGTTAAGTTACCTTCTGGTGCCAAGAAAGTCATTCCTTCCAACAACAGGGCTATGGTTGGTAAGGATATTTTATATATAATATTTAATGTAGGATAATGGCATTGTTTTTTTGTTAATTTAAACATTTCTTTAAATTTAAAATTTTTGTCTGACAAGACTTGATTGAATATATATCAAATCTCATTAAATACAAACAAAATTATTGAGTTAAAATTTTAATTTTTTCAATTAGTTGGATATCGTATATCAAAACTTTTTTTTTTTAATTTTAACACATTCTAGACGATGTGCGTCAAGGATAGTACACATCGCTTGTATACAGCTGCTATGTATAATCAGTGGCATATGTTTAGTACAAACTCATCTATGTATAAATGTGTTATATTACGGCTATGAATAAAGGTGGTACACATTTTTAAAATAATTGAATTTTTCTCAAAATAGTGAATTCAAATTATACATTTTTGTGAAGTTAACTTTTTATGAAATTATTTTAGCTTATAAAATATAACAAAATATGTCTTTGTCTTGTGTTAGAGGCCCACACATTTACATTCTAATCCACCGTTTGATTGGGACAGTGTTTGCCCTTTAGTATTATGTCTGGGCTATATGGGGCAGATTCCTTCCATCCAGATAAAGCCTGTAACCATTTTTGTCCTCCACTGACCTTAAATTAACAGTTCTGTCTATAGTACTTTATAGGCCTGTTGTGTATATTAATTATACAAGAATACAAAGTAAGTAGGTCTATCAACAGAAATAAAAGTAACTAAAGGGTTGTAGGAAACAGTTTAATGGTTAATTTAGGTTTAAATAACTTCATAAAAATTATTATATAGAGATAAAATCACAATAATAAAAATATCTTCATGGATACAGAAGAGTAACAGAGTTCATAGCAGCCGGGAAAACCGGGAATACCGGAAAAAGTCGGGGAATTCATTATTCTTCATAAAAAACAGGGAATAGTCAAATTTTAAAAATATTTATAAAAGTCAGGGAATTTGAGGTTTGCTACTGGAAATTTTGTGAAAGCAGGCTCTGGGTGCTTGAAAGAGAAAACTATTTGCTGTTTTGAAAACTTTATAAGAGATTCTTTAGGTAAAAAAAAAAGATGATGGAGTCCAGCCGAGAAAAAGTTTAATGCTAAACATCAATTAGTATGTAAAACTGAAAAGTCAGGGAAAACCGGGAAAAGTCGGGAAATTCTTTATTATTTTTGAACTATGAACCCTGAGTAACTTATGGACTAAGTATGCATATTATTCTTCTGTATGCATATTATTAACTGCTAAATACATCAAATAAACAAAACAGATACCAATTACTTGATTTGCTGTATATTTTATATCTTGTATATTAATTACCTGCAAAATACTCTTGATTGTATGCAGCTGAGTGCTGAATGCTGTTACTAAAATTTGATTTTAGCTGAACTAATTTAAAATATGTGACAGATTACAATAAGTACCAACACATGAGAAAAGTTGCTTTTAAAAAATTGTTTATGGTAATCCTGCGCAATAAATAATTTTTATCATATAATTATACCTTTAAAAATGTGTAGGTTTGTTTTATTACTAAATATATTAAAGTTACAAAAAGATTCTCATGGATTCACATGCATGTAACCTTAATTGTATTAAAATCAATAACTTAAATACTTATCAGACATGAAGATAATTTTTAAAGTCAGTTAGATAATTTTTGCCCCAATTCTTCTAATAATGGCTTAACTTTTTCTTTTGGAATAGTTCCTTAATTTGTGTGACACGAGTTACATTTCCGTTTACTTTTTATAATAAGTTGATAAACAGAGTATCCTCTCTGTTTTCGTATTACCCATAGTGAAATTAATAAACAGATATATTAAATATTAGTATGAGAAAGGTAGTTATTAGTTATATTAGTTTATACAAATAACCTAAAACTTTGAAATTGGTAACAAATTTTGGACTTTTCAACAGTTTTGTGTCTTTTGGCCCATCATCCACTTAATAAATGACTGACATAATTTACTTCATGTTAGTGGGTTATGAGAGTAATGATTTTATTAGGGTTTACAGGGGCCCGAATTACCCTCTCGCCCGGGTAAAAATTTTACCTTAAGCCGCTCCTTATAATTTAAAACTAACAGCTCAAACCTGTCATTCAAAGCTTATTCAAAAGAGTAAATGTATGTGTCGTAATCTGGACAGCATTCTCTGTACATGTACCCGGTTGCTTAAGTGATGCCTCCAATTTTTCTTTATTATTATTGAAAAAATGTGAAACGATAAAAGTATTAGGAAAAATATTTAAGTTTAATACCTATACGAGGAACAATTAAACATGTTATCTATCCAAATTTGCAAAAGTATGCTGATAATATGCTGACGATCCGCCTAATCGTAGGTATGTATTATTTCAACGCTAGATGCACAGATGATGATTGCCTAATGGAAGTACACGAACCAATTAGTTCTAACGACATGATTGATAACTCTATCACAGAATTATTTATATGTCCAATTCTAAACAAACAATTTTGTCATCAATCTCAGTTGTCAAATTCACAATCTCGGTAGTCAAAAAACCCACGAAATAAATTTAACAAGTGCAGTTAAACTTCTATTGTTGTGTTGATAAAGCCAGTTATAAATTGTTGCTAGATAATGCATTAAAATGCGCTAGTTTCTTTGGGCTAGCTTATACCTATCTGTGAACAAACTTTTTCAGTCATGAATATTAACAAATCGAAAAATAGGAACTGCGTAACTGATGAAAATTTATAAAAAATTTTACCCTTAGCTACTATAAAAATAGAACAAAATTATTAAAATAATTTTTAAATCAATGCAATTAAATTAAATTTTTTTGTTTACATTTTATTGTCTTGTTTTCTAATAATATGTAACATAAATAAAATAAATAATAGATAGGCTCCATAGGTCATAGTGAATCTATGTATGTGGCCCTTGATCTTGTTAAGTCTGCCAACCTTGTAATTGGATAGTAATTTGTTTTTACAACTTGGGTATTGGAAAGTAAAATGTTTTCAACAACTTTTATATATTTTTTTCTTTTCCCACATCGTAAAATAGAGAATGAAATTTAATATGACTTGCCACCCTTAGCACATAAGTAATTTATACTGTATGCCACCTGTCGATAAATGAAACAACTTCATTTCAAGACGTGTACCATCAGTGATATACTCAAAAATTAAAAAATAAATTATAAAAAAAATATGTGTTAATCTCTGAAATCTCCAAAAGCAAAATCTGTCTCAGGTGAAATCCAAAGTGCAATGGTTATGTCACGAATTTATTAAAAATCAAATATAATTTGTAATATTTAGTCTAGTAAGGTATAACGAAATAACTTTTATTTTAATACATGATGATTTCTAGATCTCTGATTACCTACTTTATGAGGATTTTTTTCTAGAGGCTCTTTCTGAAGCATTAAAATGCATAATTCATTTTGATTTTGATTTATGGTTAACTAAGTTACATAAGTTATATAAGTATATGTTTTTACTTGTTTAAGGTATTGTCGCTGGTGGTGGACGTATTGACAAACCCATATTGAAAGCTGGCAGAGCATATCACAAGTATAAGGTTAAACGAAACTGCTGGCCTAAGGTACGTGGTGTTGCTATGAATCCCGTTGAGCATCCCCATGGTGGTGGTAACCATCAACACATTGGTAAAGCTTCTACAGTTAAGAGGGGAACATCCGCTGGTAGGAAAGTTGGTCTTATCGCTGCCCGTAGAACTGGTCGTATTCGTGGAGGTAAAGTTGACGCGAAGAAGGAAGATTAAGTATAAAATGATATATGTCGTGAGTGTTTCTTATGGATTTATTTTTTGTTAATGTTTCATATGAAATATATGTACGACATGTAATATATATATATTTTTTTTATCCATTAATCCCCATTCCCAGTATAATGTTGTAAGAGGATGTTACTACGGGGGTTGCCTTTTATTTTTCGGGAATGGATTATCCTGGTGCTGACAGCTGACAACCGACATCCCTATTGTAAAGGTAGACTTTTTGTCAGTATACTTACTCAGAATATTTTGACATACAGGCACGATAACAGTGAATCGATGAACTTAATTTGACTTTTGGCTATGAAGCACTATCAAAAACCACTATATCGGTCGTATATGGAATTTAATTGTGACCATGGTTCGCTCATTTACGAATTTCATGAAGGTTGTCCAAAATCGATTGCAAGATTGTTATGTGACGGGGTAGCAGCCTGGAAAACCAGGGAATTCATTATTCTTCATAAAAAAACAGGGAATGGTTAGGGAATTTTAAAAGTATTCATGAAAGTCGGGGAATTTCATGTTTACTACTGGAAATTTTGTAAAAGCAGGACCTGGGTTCTTAAAATAGAAAACTATTTGTGGTTTTGAAACGTTTATCTTTTAGGCCAGTCATTATAGCTTTTTTTCGGGAAAAAAATACTATTAAAAGTTTTTCTGCGGAATATTGTTCAGAAACGTGTTATAAAGAAAATATCACAAAATCAACTTGAGACTAGTTGGGAAACTTTGTTAAAAGAATGGTCAAACTTATGGAAAAGTGTTTTTTTGACTCGCGTAAAAAAACTGTTATTCATAGAGAAAAAGGTTTCTACAAAAAAGGTAGGTATTAAATAAGTCCGTAAAATAAGACAAGTCCGATTAAATTCCGATAATTTGTTTATGCGCAAGAGCTCAAAAATGGTCGAAATTGTCCGCTTTTTTCAATTGCTAATAATTATTGCAATTTTCATCGCAGACACTTGTAATTGAGGATTTTTGAGGCTTTTTACACCCTTAATAAGTGGTAAAAATATCAGCCCAAAAGCTTCATTAGCTTGGCGTTGCCGGAATATGTTACTTAAGAAGATGCTATTTTCAATTCATTTTTCCCAAGCTCACAGGCGTTGAAGGGTTTCGATCATTAGTTGTTTTTGTACCTAAATAGTTGTATTGACATATTATGCATTTACTGAGAACTTAATTTTTCAAATTTAATTTGTTTAAAAATGACTGAAAAAATGATATTTATTAAATTGTTAAGCGCGCATGCATATTGACATATGCATTTACTGAGAACTTAATTTTTCAAATTTAATTTGTTTAAAAATGACTGAAAAAATGATTTTTATTAAATTGTTAAGCGCGCATGCTTCGCCTCACTCTCCCCACTCGTTCGATAGACCAAGAAATATAGCACGCATCGCCGCTATCTTCTTTTTCGCAATTAAATAGTTGAATTCACCTTAATGTTAATGTAGGACATGAAAATATAGCTCTTATTGTATATTCTCTCCAAATTTCGGCTCTTAATATTAATAATTAAGGTCACTACGATTAAATAAAAAAATATATATATTTTATTTATTTTTATAGCTTCTAATCAACTTACGATTTTTTTTTTAAATTCGAAGAAAACTAAAGTAATGAGGTTACTATTTTATTTTATAATAATTACCTATCTTAACAATTTAATAAATATTAACATTTTTTCAGTCATTTTTAAACAAATTAAATTTGAAAAACTAAATTCTCAGTAAATGCATATGTCAATACAACTACTTAGGTACAAAAATAACTAATGATCGAAACCCTACAACTCTTGTAAGCTGGGGAAAAATGAATTGAAAATAGCATCTTCTTAGATAACAAATTCAGCCAACGCCAAACCAATGAAGTTTTCGGGATGAAATTTTTACCACTTATTAAGGGCGTAAAAAGCCTCAAAAATCCTGAATTACAAGTGTCTGCGATGAAAATTGCATTAATTTATTAGCAATTGAAAAAAACGGCCATTTTCGACCATTTTTGAGATCTTGTGCATAAACAAATTATCGGAATTTAATCGGACTTTTCTCATTTTATAGGCTTACTTAATACCTACCTTTTTTGTATAAACTTTTTTCGCTATGAATAATAGTTTTTTTACGTGAGTCAAAAAACCACTTTTCCATAACTTTGACCACTGTTAAAACAAAGTTTGCCAACTAGCCTCGAGTTGATTTTTTAATATTTTATTTATAACAGGTTTCCGAACAATATTCCACAGAGAAATAGTATTTTTTTCCCGAAACAGGCTCTTTCATTTTTATAATGACTGGGCTATTTGGTACTTTGGTTATAAAAAATATTATGGAGTCCAGTCTAGAAAAAGTTTAATGCTTAAACATCAATTAGTATGTTAAAATGAACTATAAGTGACCTGGATTTTTTTTTATAAGTCAGAGAAAATCTGTAAAAGTTAGAGAATTCTATATTACTTTTGAACTATGAACCCTGTGTGACTTATCGTGAGATTGAGACAACCTTGGGTATTAATGGGACTACCATACATGAACATTTGGCTACCAAAATAATTTGACAAATGCTCAAAAAAAGGTTCATATCCTTGGTTGAAAGAACTGTTCAGTTGCGGTGCTTCAAAATTCAAAATACGTTTATGACATCGAAATAGGTAGCGAATCATGGACCTGTGTGTATGAGCCCGAAAGTAAAGAACAGTTAACTGTATGGGTTTTTCAAGATGAGCCAAATCCAACAAAAGTTGTTCGTGCACGAAGCACTTCTAAGTAAATGGTCGCTTGTTTTTTCAAAAAAAAAAAAAACGGACATGTACTGTACCATTAGTGCAACAGTCAATTCTGAAAGGTATACAACTATTTGTTTGCCAGAAGTATTCGGAAAAATAAAGAAACCAACTGCTAAAGACGCATGATTCTCCACCAGGACTATGTGAGCTCTCACACATCGACTTTAAGAGACTGAAAAAGTCGAATTGATGAGTCATCTGCCCTACAACCCTGATTTGGCACCCAATGATTTCCACACCAAAAATAAATTACGAAGTCGGTTTTCGACGCCTGAAGAAGCGGTTGATGCATTCAAAATGGATGTTTTAGAGGTACCTCAATCGAAATGGAAGAAATGCTTCAAAAATTGGTTCAAGGCAAGCAAAAGTGTATTGATCTTCATAGAGAATCTTTTGAAAAACAATAAAGTCATATACATTGATTAATTTCATTTTTGTCTATTCCCGAAATATATTTCAGATATGCTCATTAGTCTTGGCGTGGTAATATTATGTTCGCGCATTTTACTCCAAAACTGCTAGAAAACTAATAGACTACCAAAAGACTAATAAAAGGTTATTAGGTAGATGTCATTAGTTTAACCGATAGCATTTATTTCTATAATTCATTTTTTTCCAATAATTCTTTTGGCTGATTTTTTTAGTTTACAACATGACTTGTCAGAAGGTGCTGGTAGAAAAAAATGTATTTTTCTGTTTCTGAAAGTATTAAAGAAAATAATGTTCCTATTTTCATTTAACATTAATACGAAGTGGACTTTGCTTGTGATTTTTTTAGTTTGTAATAGTAAATTCTATTTGATGAATAAATGTATAGCCAACAATTTTATTGAAGTTGCGTTAACTCGTATAGATATAGGTGAAAAAAATTGAAATATACTTATATGAAAGTATAAAATTGCAAATTTTAAGAAACAATCTAAATCACAAATTTTTGTAACATTTTTTACATAATTAAAAATAAGTCGATGGAAGCCTTGTATTTGTTAAATATACAGGGTGTTTGGTAAGTCGATGCATTCCTTGCAGGAGGTTATAGTACAAGTAATGTGTGATATATTTCCTTAATATGCTATATTCCGAAAACGCTTAGTTTGCGATCTACAGGGTGTTAAAGTTTTCATAAAAAAATGCAGATTTACAAATATTGCGGAAACCGCTCACAATATTTTAACGAAATTTTACATTTTATTGTTTAAGAAAAAAGTGATACACCACTGATTTTTCTTAAAATAAAAAATATTTTTGAATTCTTTGTTCAATTTGGAAGAGAAAGGTATCTTGACTGTTTTTCTTATGACGTTCCACATTCGAACACAGATTACAGGAAGATTCATGCATTCGAGTAAAAAAAAATAAAATTGATTTACTGCATGGCGTAATTCGGTTTCAATAATTTGAAAAATAGCAGAAATTGGCTATATCGGTAGTCTGTGGCTACATCTCATGGCATTATATCGGGATGCGCATGCGCCTGTCATAATTATATATTATAATTTATGTGTCGTCCGACTACCTAAAATTGTGAAAATATACGTTCTATCTAAAACTGTGAAAGGAACGTATAAAGGAACTACTATTTTTAGCAATCATTAGCAGTGTCAGTTTTAACTTTGACTAATATTTCATCTGCAGTATGTCTTTATGTCTGTTTAAAAATTTAGATGGCAGTGTGCAGTATACTTAAGTTGAGAAATTAACCGCGCCATTATTCCATGGCTAGAAATTGGCCTCAATGATTTAGGATCGAGGGGGATTATCCCTCTTTATCCTGCCTCATTTCGTGTAGGCCTGGACAGCCCTCGTAGGTGGGCCCCATCCGTCGTCTACCCCGACCGCAAATGCGGCCGGTGTAGGCGCTTTGTGGGACCATAAAAAATTAACCAAAACTGACAGAGATAAGCTTAATAAATTGAAGTCATATAGAAAAAAGTATTTTGTGATATAAATTGATGAAATACAAAATACGGAGAATTTGGGGTAATACTACGCATAGCCAAATTGTTAATTAAAAAACCCTAAAGGAATTTTCCGAAAAACAAAAAAAGTTGTAGCCTATCAACCGAATGATCATAATCGAATCAACAATAACCATTATATCCAGAAGGCCAATATATACAAAAATATATATACATACTGTATGTATATATCTATATTATATTTTTTAGAAAATCTGGCATGCTCTTTCCATCCGCTAATTGGCTTGACTTTTGAAAAGTGTATGAGATCAAACTATCATCAAGACAGTAATCTAACAAAATTGTAAAAAGATTAACAAGAACAAGTTACAAGTGAGCGTATGAAACGAATGTGCCTATTAAAAATTATTTGGTATAACGTAAGTACGGGGGCGCCACTTCTTTCTCCATTTTTTAAAAAGTGGGCAAACTATAAAAGAAATCTTCTGACGTACACTAAATGTCATTATTTCATCTTCCATAAAAAGTTTTGTCTAAAAATTTTTGTACATTTATCATATACAGTTTATAACAGTCCAAAATAGTGTTTCACAAGAAATGTAAATATCTTCAACGCAGCAGCATTGTTTTCTGACTTGCGCATTTGGTGACGTTTATTATCGTACGGTATCGCGAGTGAACGAACGAGTTTTTGTGGTTCTAAAGACGCTTTTCATAAGATTTTACATTGGAAGTTTTAATATTAAAAACTTCTACCACACGTACTGATTTGTAGTAATATGAGTAATGCACCCAACCAAAATGGATCAGGTCTAGAGCAGCAGGTACGTTGAAAAATCAATTTTCTTTGTCGTTTACTACGTTTTGCTCACCCGGAAACCTCTAGCAATGGAGGTCGTAGATACCTCTATTATTGATATTGATCGCTGTCCTAAATTTCTAATTTTTTACAATATGTAAGTCTTCCTGGATTTAGGAAACTAAAATTAAGTGTGTACTTTTTATTTACGTAAATATTAATTTTACTCCGCAATAAATGAATTAACAAAGAATGGAAGAAGTCGCAGTAGTCAATTATTTGTAAGATGGTTATTTGGAAACTGTTATGTAAATTATTAAATATTAGGCAGGAGTAAATTTTAATAGTCGTATTGTTATTGCAATCTTTGCGATTTATTAGATTTTAAGAAAGTTAATACCTATTTTTAATGTCAGTTCTAGGGTCAGTTTCTCTTTTGTACAATTTTCACTGTTGAAAAATTATTTTATTAATTTACTAATGGTTAATTGAGATAATTTATCAGTTTTGACATTGTTAAATATATTACTTATCAGTTCAGGAAAGTTATACTATTCAGACATTGATTTGACTAGTTAGGTATGGTAGGTATAGGATATTGAAACATAAATTAATTGTCTAAACATATAATTTCTCTAGAAATGACTAATCGATATGAGTAATCTGATTCATTTTAAAAAATACGCGTCATAAGTATTTTATATTTTGTTTTTAGAACTTAGTAAAATCTGGGGTCAAATAGGTACCTAATAGAAACATAAAATGTATCATGCAGAAATTTGTTATAGATATACCTATTTACTTTTAAATTTAAATAATAATAATTTCAAGGTATAATTATTTTTCATTTTTAAATTTTAAAATATATTTATTTATGAGTTGCTTCAATTTTTAAAATGTTCCGTATTTTAATATTTATTTTTATTATAACTTTCATAGTAATTGAGAACTGAAAACAACTTGACTGAAAAATCTTCTTTTTTAAAACATGTTTCACTGATTATCCATTCTATTGTCCTAAAATAGCCCAGTGGAAAATCTTAATTAGTATGAATAAATAATATCTAAACTGTAATATTCCTAAGAATTTTATTATCTTATTAAGAAGTACCTACTTTAGTATCAAAGTTCCCATAAGTTTACTTTTACCCAAAATCATTTCTTGTATCAGAAAATTGAACCAACTTTTATTTGATGTTTTTTATATTAATAATAATATGCTACAAATATCTCCTACAGTTATGTAGATATATGCAGGATTACAACAAAAATGAAAGAACGTTTTCCTCGTTCAAATTTATAAAAAAAAATAAATATTTTGTTATGTAAACATTTCGTTTTTGTTGAACTTTTCAGAAAACGTATCTATCTAAATATCCGCACAAATGAATTTTGAGACGAAATTTTGTATGCACAAATATACCTACTCTTATGGACATTTTTCTCTGAGAAAGCCTTTATAAGTGTCAAACTCTGTTTAAATCTTGTTTTTTGCGCAATTTGGCAGAAACAGAGTTGACGGACTTATAAAGACTTTCTCAGAGTTTTTTTTTTTTAGAGAAAATAAGCCATGTTTTCTCTTTATTAGAATTACTTTTGGTTTTCTGCAGACAAAAATTTCCATAAGGGTATGGTTAAAATGTGATTCAACGTAGGTACGTGAAAAAGTAGTGTCGTTAAACTAGCATGTGAAGTATGTTGGTTACAGTCCCTAAAAAATTATAACACTTAGTGTTTTGTTAATTTTGAAATGCAAATTGTATTGACTTTTTTGTTTTTTCGTTTTGATACAAATTAACAATTTATAAAAATCCTACGTATTTAATTCAATGTTTTGTGCTAGCAATAGTAGCATTTATTATCCAACTTTTAAATTTTATAATTTGGATTGCCTGAATAGAGATGACTAAAGATAGTTAATCACCGCACTTAAAGTCAAACTTTTTACAATTGTGATTGTATTATACTAAAAGTCGTAAATCTACTGTATCTAAATGAATGGTCAAAATCAATGTTGTTTTTTTTTTTTTTAATATGGGATGGAAAAACTACAATTCTAATATGCTAGAATTTGCTGTAAATCCGGGCTTTTATATATATTTTAAAAATATGAGATAGCACATTAATTTTGTACAGGGTGAATTTTCAATATGTACATATATTCTAAACAGCGTTACAGTTTACCATAGAACATAAAATTAGTTTTTTTTTGAAAATATAGGAATAAAAAAGATAATTTTAAATAAATATGACTAATTTTTTAATGGAAAACTTGTTGAGAATCGTTATTCGTCATGATCGTACAAATTTGCGGTGTTACTCAGAACTTTTAAACTCTTTTTAACTTTTTATAAGAAATAGAAAGAAAAGATAAAGTTAGCGAGCCACACTTACTAAAAACAAACTACAATTCTGGGCTAGAATTTGCCGAAAACAGTTGGTCGAAAATATTGTTGTACCGCGTTTGTATATATTTTTTTATACAGGGACTCGTTAACTTTATAGAGGGTGGTCCCTAAGTATTGCTGATAATAAACGAAGTGATTTATTAGATTATTTTAAAGAATAAAATTCCTATATACTTCGCTTAGCCTTGAAATATTGGGTATTAAAGTGTTTGTAAAATATCGTGAATATTTGGAAAAATATTTGACTTAGATTAATAACGGCAGGTTTCAAAATAAAGGCGAAAATTTACTAAACCGGCATACAATTACATCAACTACTAGATACTACTAGGAGACACCATCAATAAAAAAAGTTAACTAAATCGAAAATGATTTTACAATCGTTCATTTCATAAACAGAATATATTATGTAATTATTAGAAATTTAGAAATCTAGAAATTTGCCTCGAAAAAATCAAAACGGTTTACAACGATTTTATTTTTGATTTGAATTTTTAATGTATTCTATTTAAAAGTCTCTATCTATATACTTTTTTTAAACGAACAGTTTTAGAGTGAATCAACTAGCTAAGTTATTTTAATAATAACTTAAAAATGACTTTTTTGAATAAAATGAAGGCCTTATTTCATGAAATACAATTTGGTGAACTTTTACCTATATTTTGTTCATTCACATTAAACATTTTTAGAAATATTTGACGTTATATTACACAAAAACTTTTAACATCCTCTATTTCGAAAACTAAACTGTTTTTTTCCTAAAATGATGTAAATAAACTCAAAAACTCTCAAAAATTTATTTTGACCATTCCTTTACAATAAAAATTTCAGAATTTTAAAGTTAGCCTGCCTTTATGCATTCAGTTTGTTAGGTTTCATAATCACACTAAAGCCAATTTTGCTTATTACCAAAGTAACATTGTAACAATGCTTTAAAGCTCTTCTACATTTAGAGAACTTTTTAGTTTATTATGAAGCAGTCCGTAAATCAGACTCCTATGAAAAATATAATCTTTTAGGAAAATAAATAAAATCAGGAAAATTGGAAACGTATACATTTAAAAGAAATTTTAGATTGATCAGTATGTATTATTTGATCATTTGTTTACCATATAGTTTCTTGAAATGGCGAGAAAAATATATTTTCTTTCTAATTAGAAATTTACGTTGTTGGTGTGATAAAAAAATAGTTATAAGAGGTTATCAGTATCAAATTACTGTAGTACAGTATTATTTCATTGAGATTGATCTAGACTTTTATTAGGAATTTTTATTGTTGTCTTGCATAATTTTAATTTTTTGATGCAATTTTGTTGGGTGCAATATCTGTACACCGATTTGCACACACATATAGCATGCCAGCAACATTTCCATAATAAAACGTAGGCGTTTCAAGGCTTAGTTTATTTTTCAAAATAAATAAGATATGCATAAACAGTTATTTTTAGAGAAATTTGATTACGGTATATTGTAGCAGCTTCCCTAGTGTTATATTTGTTTGTATAATATTCACATTTTTAATAGGGCGATTCAAATTTAATAGTATATGTATACATATACCTCGCCTTGTTTTATATGTTGATCTTTTGATAACATATGCAACGGCAGTACTGTATTATACAGTATCGAACATCCCATTAATTGTGGTCTGAAAGGTTTATAAGCCTGATATAAGATTTAGGGGTTTTGGTCGTTTCCGATCTTTTTCTTTTGTAAAAAAATATAATAAAATGATAAAAGAAACTTAGATTTCTTTTTTTTTTTCATAATATTTAAAATCATGTAAATTGGATCAAATCAATAGTGATTAGAAGGGTTAAAAGAAATTTGACGTTGAAGATTGTAAAAAAATTATCACATGCATATCATATTTGGATAAAATTGAACTATTATGTATGTTTGTGTTGTTGTAAATGAAGTGCGTGCGAATATCCTGTTTTTCGATCTGGGTTAACTATTTTCATTCTGACTAGTTTATTTTGCCTTTTCTCTATAATGAGATATTTTTAGTTACTTGTTAGATTATGTTGAGAATTTGTTTTTTTTTTGTCCATTTTTAATCGCTGCTGTTTGTTTAATATTTAATAATAGACTAGGCGGTATATGTTTTGGTTTGGGTGAATCGTATATCTACGGAGATTTTTGGCTTTTTGGCTTTCAAATATCACTAGAAATGAAAATTTTTCTATGCGCATAAAAAAAAGGTGGGCTTAACTTTTGGCGGCACAATATGTTTAAAAAATTCGAAAAATGTCATATTTTTCTTCCTATTTAATTATGTATCTTTTGTCGAGTTGATTTTAGGCGAAAATGGAAGAGGAAAAAAATTTTTGCAATTAAATTTTTTACAAAACATGTCTAGTTGCAAATCGAATGAATCATGATTATTATGGCAAAAATCGAAAAAATCGCAAAAATGAGGTTAAAAAACAATACTCTAGGGAATTTTTTTGGGGTATTTTAATTGGGTATAGGACCTTTATACTTGGCTCAAAGAAAGTTCATGTTATGTAGAATTACCACACCAAATTTCATCAAAATCGGTTCGATAGATTTTGCATAATAATTTTGCAATCCAGATTTTGAAAAAAAATTGCAAATTTTCAAAATTTTGCAC